TTCTGGATCAGCAGCCCATTGTGAGTGTTGCTTCCAGAATCTTCTCCCCCCTCCACTGTGGTCCATGAGAGCCTCATGCAGACAGGAGACCCCCAGGGATTCTGAGGTCCTGGGGCCTCAGTCTCACTTTGTGGGTCATGTGACATGAGCCAGGCATGAATTTAGGTGGTTCCTGATCTGGGCAAAGCTGTGACCTCATGCAGAGGCCGAACCAGGCTGTGGTGTGAAGCCAAGAGCCTCTGTGGGCCCAGGCACCTCCGCGGTGAACACAGCTGGGCCTTCGGCTGCTCGCGGAAGGACCAGGGCAGGACAGCCCTGGCCATGGGGAGAGGGTCGGGCCAGAGGAAGCGGGGACGGGAGCCCAGGGGCCCACGCCCTGGTGAATGGATGATGCTTAGGTCTTTGGCTAAGCAGTGTGGGGTCAAGAATATGTTGCTAGAGCACGATGGCACCTGCATAGGATCCAAGGGGACCTGGGCAGTGTAGTGGTGTCAACGACATGTGGAAGGATGGCAAGAGGGTTTGCCTCACAAGTCGACTCCAGTCAGCGAACAGCTGTCTGAGCATGGCCTTGAGAAGGCTTTGGGGCCAGGCATTGACGGCAGGAAGGGGCACCCTGACCAACTGACACGGTCTCTTGGGAAGACAGGTAGCACATTTGTCCCCTCTGGGCCAGGCCTCTAGGAGTCCTACCTGGCTCACTCGTCACGCCGAGCTCCAGACTGCGGATAACCGCTAAGAGACTGACAGGAGGCAGCTCGGTGGGTCCGGACTATGTGGGCACCAAGGACAGCTCCTCTGGGCTGCGCCGGGGTTTGCCCACCAGGAGCCAAGTCTTGGCTCAGCACCATGGACAGCTCCCGGGGGAGCTCGGGGGACACGGGCAAGTCAGCACTGTGGACACTGACCAGGCTGGCACAGAGGGGCTCGGGGCATCCTGGTTCTCTCCTGCAGAGGGCTACATCTGTCAAAGTAGGCTGGGCCCCCGGGCCAGGGCGCCCCCATCCTGTGGGTGCTGTGTCTCCGTGAACATGCTTGTTTGAGCTGGGTGGGCTGAGTGAGTCCTGGGGGCACGTCTACCCTCATGCCTCACCATGTCTCTGCTCCCCCAAAGCCGATGATGGACCGGAACAAGGCGGCCGAGCTCCCCAAGCTGCAGGTTGGCTTCATCGACTTCGTGTGTACGTTTGTGTACAAGGTGAGGGGAGGCGCAGGGCCTGCCTGGGTGGCTGGAGGGGGAGGGGGCTGGTGGGTCACCCGAACGCCCAGGCCGCCCCGGCCCCCACCCTTCTCACATCTGCACTTAACATCTTCAGTGTCACCCCAAGGGGAGACCCTCCCACCTCCACCTCACCCGGTCAGTTCCTCAGAAGTGCTACGCTCTCCCAGGGGCTTCCTCCCTCTCGGTGTCCTGGCCCTCACTTCGAGGTCTCACCTCAGATGTCCCTTCCCCAAACCCCACCTGGGACCTGCACGTTGTTCTCGGGGCCCTGGCTGCAGTGTGTCTGCGTGTGCATTTGTTCAGGTCTGTGAACCCTGGGAGGACAGGGATGGGTCCACCCAACACAGGTGGGTGTGCTTTGCCCAGCAAACATATGTTGCATAACTGACAAGTGACAGTTGGACACCAAAGACATGGAGCAGACGCTGTGCTGTCACAACTCAGGGGACCAACCAGGGACTGAGGGGTCAGACTGCAGAGCCCTCCTTAGTGATGCCCAATATGCCCACAGGCTCCACTCCACCATTGTGGGGCCTGTGGGGGCGGAACCCCCACTCCGAGGAGATTATCTGGTTCTAACTGGACCAGCCCCACCCCCACCTCGGCCTGCGTGCCTCCCACACTTCCCTTTGCTGAAACCCCAGCCCCCTCCCTGCCTCCACAGCAGGGCTGGAGTGCGGAGGGGAGATGCGGGCCCAGGGTGTGCAGCCTAGTCCCGAGGTCACAGGTCACAGCCCCACATGCTCCACAGCCGATGTGGCGTGTCCATGTGTAAGCACGTGCACGTGGGGTGCGTGTACGTGACACGGGGAGCACAGGACCTGCATGTCTGCCCTGCTGCCCCCTGCGCAGTGGATACTTGCTACTCCATTCCTGGGGTCCTCACCCCACTGTGACCGTGCGTGTCATGAGCTTCCTGTCTGCTTCACAAACACAACCCTGAGCCCTCTCCCTTTCAGCGCTTCGCTGGGAGAGTGACATCTCAGTGGTCCTCCCTCCCCCCGCCAGGCAGGCCCCTCTGGCTGCCAGTTGGGGCCCAGGCATGGGGACCCAGGAGCCGGTGGGGGTACGGTCTGACTGCTCTGTGTTCTTTCCAGGAGTTTTCCCGTTTCCACGAGGAGATCCTGCCCATGTTCGAACGGCTGCAGAACAACCGGAAGGAGTGGAAGGCCCTGGCCGATGAGCATGAGGAGAAGGTGAAGGCCCTGGAGGAGAAGAAGCAGCAGGACGGGATGGCAGCCAAGAAAGGTCTGGGCGCACCTGATGCCACACTCGCGCTGCGGGTCGCGGGCACTGCTTAATCACAACATCGAAGTGTGTAGGGACAGAATGCAACAGCAGCGTGAGACGAGAAGGCGCAGGGTGCAGACAGGCTGTGGTGGGCGCTCTTGGGTTCCTGACTGCGAGGCTGCCCAGGGAATCTGCTGACGAACCTGGATGGAAAGGGTCCCCTGCCACTCTCCTGGGGGCTCATCTCCCTGAGCGAGTGGCTGACTGCTTTACTTCTCCCGTCACGGGGCTGGGCGGGGAGCCCTAAGAAATACCGTGGGCTCTTCACAGCTCTGTTCACAGAGCAGTTCCCTCCCGAGTAACTAGTCTACCTGTGCGTCCGTGCCCCTCACAAACCAACCGCAGAGCCCCTGCTGCTCCAAAATAAAGGAAAGCAGCTAAATACCACGAGCCAATAGCTGAGTGAGCACGACATCTCTCCCCGCACTGCGTCCTGCTCGCCCTGCATCCGTATCCGGCACGCCCCACCCTGGACGCATGGCTGTGTCGCCCTGGTGTTTGCCTGTGCTCGGCCACCTCGGCTTGGAGACTCGTTGCTGTGGGGAGGGAACCAGTGCAAGCAAGGTGGTTCCGGGGTGACAGGAGGCCAGGACTGAAAGTGTCACCAAGGGCTCAGATAAGAAAGGCTGAGCCCAGCTAATCGGCTTAGGCGGACCACGGCTCTGCCCTTCCTCCTGCGGGGCTGGTAGGGGACACACAGAGCAGAAGGGAACGGGCCGACTGTTCACATGGCTGGTGCTCACCATCTTGTCTTCTCTTGCAGTGGGCACAGAAATTTGCAACGGTGGCCCTGCGCCCAAGTCTTCGACTTGCTGCATCCTGTGAGCCAGTCAGTGGGGTCTGATGGCCCTCTCTCCCTGCATGCCCGCTGGGACTCTGCCTCTAACCATTTGGTACAAAAGATTAGGAAGCCTGAGATGACTTAAGGCAATTTTGGATATTTTGAATTTTTTTTAAGCTTTGTGTTTTTATAAACTAAAGCCAACTACTAATAACTTAAACAGTGTAGCCTACACTTGCACTCATCCATTTTTGGATACATAGCAGCCTCCTGAGATCTTTGGAAGTCTGTGAACTGTGTCTAAAAACACTGGGTGTGAGACTCTTCACAACTGCACATGTATTTATGTGTATATGGGTAGGTAGATGGGCACATAGAGGCCATTTCCCATCTGGTTTAGGGAAAAAATTATGACCAGAAGTTAAAAATAAAAAATAAAACAAGCTACCCTTTTACGTGATGGAAATTATGGCAGCGGGTATATCGTATATGACCAATTGGAAAATTCTTCCAAAAAGTTCAAGGCCAAGACCTGAGTGAGCTGCGCGGAAATAATCTGTAACAAACTCTCCGCTCTGAACTGCGCTGCCAGACCAGGGTCAGAGCAGGCTTTCCCGCCAACGCCTGCGGTCTGCCCGAGCTCGCCTTTCCAACAGGGGTCCCCTTACTGCTCTAGTCGCTTATTCCGTGAGCCAGGAAGAGAGGGAGTCAGACCCAAACTGGGCAACGCAGGGCTCACACTTGACACAGGGACCAATTATCTGGTAGAAATGGACTTTCAACTCCTAATGTGACCTCCACAGCATTCGTTCCTCACACTGGTGAGTTTGCCCCATGGGAAGCGTTCAGCTTCAGGCCAGTCTGAAGGCCAATTCAGATGGCACTCAGGCCTTCCCAGAGCTCCCAGGGAAGTGGTGGGGTGCTCTCCGGAGGAACGTTTTGGTTTCCATCTCAGTGGTGCCACCTGGTGGCAAGGTCCTGTGGCTGGGGCCCAGGCCCCTCCATGTTCTGAGGGACTCAGTACCAGCGACTGCTCTGGACAGGGTCTCACCAACCTCACAGGTGGGTTCATGCAAGCCTCACCCTAACCAAAAGCAGGGCTTTGAAGTGCCAGTATGTTGCTTCCCATTTTCTCTTCCATTTGAATATCAACTCACTTTCCAAATGAAACTGGGGTTCCAACCCTAGAAAATGTGTTCAAGAGCAGTAGCTAGGATGTAGCAACATTCCAACACCAGGCCTCAGGGGTTAGAAGGGCTCGACCAGCAAAGGCTGGAAGTCGCTGTCCGCTCAGCGACCGGGGCCCAAGCCCCCTGAACAGCTTATGCGACGCCCCAGACTAGTCCTCAGTAGGCCACATCCCCTCCCTAGGGTCAAAGGGAGGATTTATGAAGGGGGTGGGAGGCTGGAGATCCAGGTCTCAACTGTAAGGCCACTCCCAAACATCTGCACTGACTGCCCATGCCCATCCAAGGGTCTGGCCCCAGGGCTCAGAGGACTGAAGATGAAGCAGCACCCACGATGCCCAGGCCAGCTGTGTCTCCATCATAAACTGCACCCTGAGGGGCCCCCCACTGGGATGCCCCAGAGATCAGGTGAATCAGGTGACACGGTGTCCGTGCTCTCCTCCGTCCCCCTCATCCTGCATCTTCTGAAACACCCCTCCCCCACCCCACATAAAGTGAGGGCAGTCAAGGAGAACCAGAGTGTCCCACAACACAGAAAGCTTTATTCGTCCACACTGCTGCGGAGGAAGGCAGGCTCACTTCAGGATGCTGTCATCTCGGGCTGAAGGGTGAGAAGGGAGATGCGGGCGTTATTACACACTCAGGCAAACCCAAAGGACCACTTCGGATTTTCAGTGTTGAACGGTCCGTATCCAGTTCCAATGGAACCAGCATCGCCCAGCCTAAACTCTCATCCTCGTTCGTCCTTATCCACGCACATTCTGACCAGAACTGCCACAGTAGTCAGAGGGACAAGTGTCTGGTTCTGGTCCTGTGGCCTGAGAGAGGCCTGGCCAGTTCGCATCTCCAGACAGTTAACCTCCAAGGCCTGTGGGTGTCGCCATGTCTCCCACAACATCCATGACTGTCCCCTCCCATTACAGGACGACCCACTGGGCCAGCGGGACAGAAGGGGCGGCCCCTGCCCTCCACTGTGGGCTTTCTTGGAGAAACCTGTCTCTGAAAATCTGGGTGGAGGACAAATCTGTCAGATTCCCTATGCCCAGTACCTTCCGCTAATTCCCTCTCAATCCGTTTCAGTTCATCCTGCTTCTTCTTCTCCTCGGCGGCTACCCTCCTCTCCTCCTCCGCCCGAGGCTTCAGGTAGCCTGTTGAAGGAAAGCAGGGAGGAAGGCACTTCCCACGAACCTCTTCGCAGGAACGCTGCGCCAAAGCAATTCAGTCCCCACGCACAGTCACCTTCGGGTGCACCGTGAAACCCAGATATACCTGCTTTCAATTCTCCTTTACCTCGATGGAGGTCAAGGCCTGAGCTCCACCCCAGAGAGCAGTTACAGGGTCCCCACAGCCCCTGGCCCAGGGGCCCCGCCGCCTTACACGACATGCGACACGGGGCTACCTCGTTTTGGACCGCAGCCCTCCTCCAACGCCCCTCGCACCAACTCCCACCCGAGCCGACGCCGCGGGCGTCCGCGCGACAGAGCGCACTGCGGGTCGCCGCCCGAGCTG